AATTATTTATCTTTTACATCATCTTAAGGGGGGGGGAGGGGTGTCGACAAAAGGGGAGGTGGTGGAAAAGTTGTACCTTGTTTTTTGGATGCCCTTTATTAACAACTGTTTAGGTCATACTGAAGATGTTTAGTTTTAACAAAATTGTATAATTGCATAGCATTTAAAAAAAATAAAGCAGTGGTGCCGACACTGTAATTTTAATTTTCTTTGTATACCTTCTTCTTCAGTGTCTGCAGAGAAAAACACTTTGGAAATGGAACTGTAAGTCTATTTGGGCATTGGTATTTTTAATATAATCTTTGTAACGTTTTATTTAAACCTAGAAAAGAAACCGTTTAAAATTGTCAGTGTAAAATGATATTTCCAATTACACAAGTAAATTACATATTTAAGCTTACATTAGGAGCCATGTGCTTTAATATTACATACTTTTAATGAACTCTCAAGGAAAATAATAAGTTCGTTTGAGAGATTTCGGAAATATGACGAACATTTAGTTGTGCTCTTCTTTAATATTTATAGAGCACGTTTGAAAGGGGAACAAGAGGAAGGCCCAGCTGATCCATCCAATCTGAGTTTACAACAACAGTCCGCTGCTGTACCAACTCCTGATACGGAAGTGGAGCTCGCTGCCGCACGAACTCCTGACACGGAAGAGGATCCCGCTGCTGCACCAACTCCTGACAAAGAAGATGAGCTCGGTGACTACACTGTTCACTGTTGCAATATTTACTGTAATTAGTATAATGTCTTGGGGATGAGGTCTCCTTCCAGATCCTTTCAATTCCACGCCACTCAAGTCTCGTCAAGTCATATCTATCCAAGCCAAGTTAATCAAGCCAAGTCAAGTCTACCTGGAATAATCATATTTGAAGCTTATAATCTTGTTTAGATCATTCACAACCCACTCGACATCACGCCAACACACCGGAGGCCATCTTTCCCGTCGCTGAACTCGAGCAACACGTCCCCCGAATTTAGACACAAAAAAGACCCGACAGCCTGTGTCTCTCATATTTGCTGAATAGTGTGTCTAACCATCGCGTGTCTGAATAGTGTGTCCAACCATCAAGTGTCTGAATAGCGTGTCGTCACGCAATAAGTCGTAAGTTCTAACAAACAACTCGGTGCTCCACTAACCCTTAAGACTATTAAACAGGTATGTGGATCCCCTGACCCGTAACACTCATCAACAGGTCGGTGATCATATAATCTGAACCAAACAAGAATCTAGACCTCACGGTGAAGCCGCCATTTCGCGGAGACCAACAACGAAAACACCTAACAAGCTACCATCGCCGACACATACAACCAAAGGAAACAGCGTCGATTCCATCTCACTCCAGAGGTGGCACTGCTTGTGGTGTCACCCCTGCTCGTTATGTCATTTTGGCCTAGTCGCCCATATGAGCTTACGCTCGATGACTTCATTGAAGTTGTTGTAGTAGTGAGGTCAAGCCATGCTGTCACCAAGGCTGCCCTCTGGACCTCCTCCTAACCTGCCTGCGCTGGATACATCCTGTTCTGGTGGAACCATATTGGAGATTCAGACTGTGGTGCAGCTGCCCTTTCTATGGCATCCTGCTCTCGATCAGGCGGCACCCTGCTCTCGATCTGGCGGCATCCTGCTCTCGATCTGGCGGCACCCTGCTCTCGATCAGGCGGCACCCTGCTCTCGATCTGGCGGCATCCTGCTCTCGATCTGGCGGTACCCTGCTCTCGATCAGGCGGCACCCTGCTCTCGATCAGGCGGCACCCTGATTCTGCGGCACAACGCTTTTTTTATTTGAATTAGACGTTTGATGGAAACGACTTGGTCCAGTTCTGACAAATATACTTTTTCTTTTCCATTTGGATTCACGACCTGTCAGACGCTACTGACTTTGTTCAGAACGCCAAGAGGCTTTCAAGATGGCACATGCATAAGGCTGTCAATGATCGTTGCCTTTGGCAATAACCAATAATCATTGGGAGCAAGGACTTACCTACAATAAAGACAGCAGAAGCTCAAAAACTATATTCCCAATTTTCATGTTAAAACATCAAAAACGGAACATCATTTCTCCAAAAAATATGAATGGAAATTCAGAGAAATCATTGTGTTCCATTATAATAATTTTATGTTTTTATTTTATCTCTCTTATATTATTATGATACCTGTATATTTTTCACAATACCTGTATTTTTTACCAAATAGATTCATGAACTATCATGAATTTTAATTACCCATGACATTCTTCCTTTCAAACCGGGGGTAATGTCAACTTAACAAATATATCTTGGCGTCATGCCTTATGGAGTTCCCCGATCCCTGTTTTAGAATGTCAGAACTTTTGTAACTCCCTGTTTTAGAATGTCAGAACTTTTGTAACGGACAGATGTAGATCGCCTGTAGCGAATGATTTAAAAATGTTTATGGGAGATGCGGAACTTTAAAGCGAACATTTAAAAAACCGCTGCTATTCTTTGAACTGGGTTTTATCTTATTTGATGTCAACAGCACTGGCATTCACTGCCTTATTGTCTTATTTGATGTCAACAGCACTGGCATTCACTGCCTTATAGGAATATGATCTTCTTGTTGTTGTCTAAAAAGTAACTCATGTTTAACATGCTATGCGTCCAACCCAAAGGGAAGGAATCTTGAGTTCATACATGGCAGGAGTTACCCAAGGGGCACAAACATTTGGTTCATCATCTTGACTTCTTGGTATTGGCTAGACCAGTGTTCCCCAACCTATTTTGTGCCATGCCCCGCCTAAGCCTTTATAAAATTTGTATGCCCCCATGTATCATAAAGATAATATTTAATATTGAAAAATAGGAGTGTTCACTGAAGAAACTGAAATGTTAGGTTTTAGGAAGAAATCACTAGGAAATTAGTGAGCATACATAGTAGGTACATTTTCAACACATTAAATGGAGAACTGAAATTCAAGTACGAAATAATTTTAACAAAAGATGTTTCTGAATTACTTTAATTATTAGTAATTATTTATTATTTAAATTTAGTGAGATGTTTGTGCTTAATGCTTCATAAACAATCAAATTGCCCCCCCCCCCCCTAAACTTTTTGGGAAACACCGGACTACACGGTCCCGTGACTCCCGTTTACCCCAAAAAAAGAAAGGGC